AAGGAAACGGATCTAATGAGAGTTTACCAAGGCCAGTTGGACTGGGACTGAACGAGGACGTGATCTAACCAGATTCTCAGAATTTGGCCGGATTCTCTGAATGTGGCTGGCCCGAAGTCTTTCTGAAAAGCCATTGACTATGATACTGGGACCTGTTTCCTCTGCATATTCTGGATTTTGGGGATCCAGTCTGTTTGGATACTCACCTTCCTGGACCTGGAGGGAGAGGGGTGGAACTTGAACTTCCCACAGGGCAGGAAACCCTGACTGCCCTAAGGGACTAAGAGGGAGGAGGAGAGGGAGTGGGGGGGAGTGGGAGGGTGTTGGGAAGAGGGGCAGAAATGGAAACTTTTATAATTTAATAAACTTTACATTAAAAAAAAGAAAGCAGCTTGGTACTGGCTTAAGAACAGAGAAGTCGACCTATGGAATCGAATAGAAGACCCAGATATTAACCCACAAACCTATGAACACTTGATTTTCGACAAGGGGGCTAAAGGTATGCATTGGAAGAAGGAATGCATCTTTAACAAATGGTGCTGACATAACTGGATGTCAACCTGTAGAAGAATGAAAGTAGATCCATATATATCACCATGCACAAAACTCAAGTCCAAATGGATTAAAGACATCGACATTAATCTGTCCACTTTGAACCTGATAGAAGAGAAAGTGGGAAGTAGTCTACAAGATATAGGCACAGGAGACCACTTCCTAAGTAGGACCCCAGTAGCACAGACAATAAGAGAAACAATGAATAAATGGGACCTACTGAAACTGAGAAGCTTCTGTAAAGCAAAGGACACTGTCAGTAAGACAAAAAAGGCTGCCTTCTGACTGGAAAAAGATCTTCACCAACCCCTCATCAGACAAAGGTCTGATCTCCAAACTATACAAAGAACTCAAGAAACTAGACACTAAAACTCTAATTAATCCAATTAAAAAATGGGGTACTGAACTGAACAGAGAATTCACAACAGATGAACTTCGAATGGCCAGAAGACACTTAAGGTCATGCTCAACCTCCTTAGTGATCAGGGAAATGCAAATTAAAACCACTTTGAGATATCATCTTACACCTGTCAGAATAGCCAAACTCAAAAACACCAATGATAGCCTATGCTGGAGAGGATGTGGAATGAGGGGAACACTCATCCATTGTTGGTGGGAATGCAAACTTGTGCAGCCACTGTGGAAATCAGTGTGGCGGTTTCTCAGGAAACTGGGAGTCAACCTCCCTCAGGACCCAGCAATTCCACTCTTGGGAATATACCCAAGAGATGTCCTATCATACTACAAAAGTATTTGTTCAACTATGTTCATAGCTGCACTATTTGTAATAGCCAGAACATGGAAACAACCTCGGTGCCCCTCAATAGAAGAATGGTTAAAGAAGGTGTGGAACATATATACATTAGAGTTTTACTCAGCGGTAAAAAACAATGACATCTTGAATTTTGCATGCAAATGGATGGAAATAGAAAACACTTTACTGAGTGAGGTAGCCCGGACCCAAAAAGAGGAATATGGTATGTACTCACTTCTAAGTGGATTCTAGCCATAGTTAAAAGTCTTTGATTCTATAATTTGTGATCCTAGAGAAGCTAAGTAAGAAGGTGAACCTGAAGAAAATTATATAGTTATCCTCCTGGATAGTGGAACTAGGCAAGATTGACAGGCAAACTCTGGTGCATTGGGGGTGGGGGGATGGAAGTAAGGAAAGTTGGTCAGGGAGAGGGGGAGGATTGGGGATGGCTTGGGGAAATGGGAGGGGGGAGGGAGGAAGGATTATTGGGGGAGCAGTGAGATTTATATCTCAGCTAAGGGAGCCATTTTAGGGTTTGCAAGAGACTTGATTCTGGCGGGGTTCCCAGTAAAAATTAATTAAAAAAAAGAAATAAAAGAAATTTAAAAAAATTTTTAAAAAATGGCATCTTGAATTTTGCATGCAAATGGATGGAAACAGAAAACGCTTTACTGAGTGAGGTAACCCAGACCCAAAAAGAGGAATATGGTATGTATTCACTCATAAGTGGATTCTAGCCATAGTTAAAGGTCTTTGAGCCTATAATCAGTGATCCTAGAGAAGCTAAATAGGAAGGTGAACCTGATGAAAATCATATAGTTATCCTCCTGGATATTAGAAGTAGACAAAATTGTCAGGCAGACTTGTGTGCACGGGGGGTGGGGAGGTGGAAGTAAGGGGAGATGGCTAGGGTGAGGTGAGAGGGGGAGGATTGGGGATGGCTTGGGGGAATGGGAGGGGAGGGAGAAAGGATGGTTATGGGAGCAGGAAAGTTTACATCTCAACTAAGGGAGCCATTTTAGGGTTTGCAAGAGATTTGATTCTGGAGGGGTTCCCAGGCCCAAGAAGAGGTCCCCAGATTGCTTCCTGGGCAGCAGAGGAGAGGGTACCTGAACTGGCCTTGGCCCATAACCATACTGATGAATATTTTGCATGTCACTACAGAACCTTCATATGGGGAAGGATGGAGATAGAGACAGAGACACATATTGGAACACTGAAATTAATTCCCTAGGTCCAAATGAGAAGCAGAGGGAGGGAAATCGTGAGCAAGGAAAGCAGAACCAGAGGGAATCTTCATCCGACGATGGATGGAGATAGAGACGGAGACCCACATTGGAGCACTGGACTGAGCCCCCAAGGTCCAAATGAAGAGCAAAATGAAGGAGAACATGAAAAAGGAAGTCAAGACTGCGAAGGGTGCGTTCACCCACTGATACAAGGGGACTGATCTATTGAGAGCTCACCAAGGCCAGCTGGACTGGAACTGAACGAGCATGTGATCAAACCGGATTCTCTGAATGTGGCTGACATGGGGGCTGACTGAAAAGCCATTAATAATGGCACTGGGTCTTGTTTCGTCTGCATGGACTGGCTTTTTGGGATCCTGGTCTGTTTGGATGCTCACCTTCCTGGACCTGGAGGGAGGGGGGAGGTACTTGAATTTTCTACAGGGCAGGAAACCCTGACTGCTCTTGGGAATGGTGAGGGAGGAGGAGAGGGAATGGGGGGAGTGGGAGGGTATTAGGAGGAGGGGAGGAAGTGGAAATTCTTTAAATAAGTAAATAAATAAATAAATAAGGAAAAAAGGAAAAAAAGAAAAAAAGAAGTAGGTATCATATCAAGGCACTAGAGAAAGATCTGTTGTCATGGTACATGACAGAGAAAGTCAATAAATGAACTTGTGTTATCAGAGCAAATCCAAGGAGTATGTAAATGGCACAGAGCAGAAGAGACTATGTGGAAAAGTATCGTGGAAATTAGTGCTTAATCTGTGTTCCCACAGATAGGACTTGGGACTATGAAGAGGACAAGAACATGAGTTTGTTCCTTATGGACATAAGTGAAAGCTGGTGTAGAAATTATATGATGAGAACTACTATTAAGAGCATTAGGATTAAACAGAAGAGTAAGATATGGTTAAGAGCACCAGGGAAATCCAGTGTATAATATACTCATCCACAGTCAGGACTCGAGCATTGCAGATTATTCTGGTAGGCCTGGCTTTAATGAGATTCAGCAAGGAATCCATATAGAAGAAGAGATGCAGAAAATAGGCCTTTGTGGTTAGACATGGCCCTGGTGAATAAAGTGATGTAAATCTAACAAGGGAAATCAGAAAACCTAGGCCTTCTGTGTGTGTGTGTGTGTGTGTGTGTGTGTGTGTGTGTGTGTGTATTACAGCCGTGTAGATTAGTCTTCTTGTGGGACTCCTAACAATGACAACAGGGGCTATTGCTGATGCCGTTGTCTACTTTTGGGACCCTTTCTGCCTACTAGATTACTTCATCCTGCCTAAATAAAGCAGGAGGTGCCTATTCTCACTGCAACTTCATATTCCATGATTGACTGAAATCCATGGGAAGTCTACCATTTTCTGAAGATAACAGAGGAGGAAGAGTGGATGGAAGTAGAAGGGCATGAGGGAGAGGAATGGGTTACCTAATAGAATGCCGGGAGTTTTCATTTTGCTAGGTTTGTAGCTCATCCCAGAGATGTCCCAGAAGTCAGTTGTCTCTCTCAGTACACTCCCTCCATCTTCCCCTCACCTGATCCTTCCTGTTCCCATTCCCTACCCCCATCTAGATCCCTCTCCTATTCATTAGTGATGTCTATTCCATTACCCTTTCACAATGAGATTCTCAAGTGCCCCATTGTGATCCCTTGTTAATTCGCTTCTCTCTGAGCCTGTGATTGTAGCATGGTTATCCTCTCTGTGCCTGTGATTGCACCTTGGTTACCTTACAGCTAATATTCAATTGTAAGTGAGTACATGCAATGATTGTCTTTCTGGGTATGGGTTACTTCACTCAGGATGACCTTTTCTAGTTCTACCCATTTGCAAGCAAATTTCTTTTACTTTATGAAATGGCCTTCATTCTATGGATGTCAAGCATGGAATATCCTTATGTGAAATGGGGTATGTTTGAAGTTAGTGAGATTACCCAGTGACAATGTAAGCTTGCCACCAAGCTTAATGTGAGTTTGAACGTAGTGTTTCAGAAGGTAAAACAAGAAAATCAACTCGGACAAGCATCCCTCTGATCTCCACACCACATTTTCTATCAGAGCACACTGGGAATGCTCGGCAATTTGTGATATTCACAAACAGAAAGATATGTATGACTGTCCAGTATACAGATAGTCTTTCTATTCCATGACAAGGGTACACACTGTCTACAGAGCCAACACTATGAAGTACAGCTATGCCTTCAGGAGACCTGAGTTTCAGAGTGTCTCCAGACAGAATTGTGTTTACTTTTCTGTTTATGTTTCAGCTTCCTTACAACCCACCTTTCACTTGATATTTATTCTGTGATAAATGTTTTTGCAACATGCATTTCACCATTACTTTTCCCTGCTACTGCTTGTCAGAAATATCTGAATGCATGATCATGGCCTTCAGAGATTAGGAGATGAAAATATCCAAAGAAAGAAACAGGTTAGACAGAGGAGGAAGTCATTTAGACAGACCAAGAGAATCAAGTTGTTGCTTTATTTAGAACGAGCTAGGAACTACAGGAGTTTTGTATATGAATGAGAAATTTCTTCTAGGAACTTTCTGACAGATGTTGTAAATGGAGTTCTCACTTCAGATCACTTGTTCAGCCACTATGGAAACACACTTGGCCTTCACCTGATTCTTTAGTTTCAAAGAGTTTATCTCAGAGAGAAAGACGATTATACCAAAGAGTGACATGGCGGCCACCAGTACCCCGACTGGGAACACAGCAGTATAGAGTTTGTTTATTAAGGCTTCTTTTTTAACTGGAAAGTCAGGTGGAAAGTCAAGAGTGGTTTGGCCATAATGATCTACAAAGTGATTCCAGCTTACAGAAACAAATGTGAAGAAGCTGCTAATACACAAAAGTAAGGCAGCAACCTTGTAGCAATATATCTGCATTTCAATAAATGGGTCTTTCATGTAGCTAATCTTAATGGCGATTGCACCAAAAATCAGTACTACAGGCCTCATCGAAATAGCCCACATTATCAGGTTTTGTGCAATCTGAAATTCAGGTGGAATGGTCCAACTGGAATTGATAGGGGTGTGCACCAGAATCTTCGTTACAGTCCCTGAGGCATTAAACTCTTGAGGGTAATAAGCTTCCCATAGTCCAAAGGACACAAATTGCACAATCTTGTCATCGAATTCCCACAGGCGCCAGAATTGGCTGCTTGCAATGATTATTTCCAACACCAAAGCTGATAGGGTGATAAGGAGGCCACTCAGCTTGAAGATGCACTCCTTCTCATTGGCAAATCTGAAGATGAAATTGAACAAGTATATAGTCAAGTCAGGAACACAAGGGACAGTGAAAAACAAAATGAATCATGGTTTACAGAGCAATAAGTTCTCATACTTTATCATTGCTGTCACATAAAGTTGTATTTAAGTAATATACCTATGGCCGAAGTTCCCTCTATAAGAGGCTTTGATTAGCAATTTCACTGTATCTATCAAATGCTGAAATGTGCAGATTTGTTAACTAAACATTTTAATGACTGGAAATAATAGTCAATAAAGTTTATAACACATGTTAAATGATGTTTAATTAAGCAGTGCTTATAATACATAAATAAGATAAATAGCTTAAATGAGAGGTATAAGCAGAAGAATGCACAAATATCTATAAATTATGGTAGTGAACTTTTACAAATTTAATTCACCTATATTGTCTGCTATATTTGTACATGTATATGCTAGTACATGTGTCATGGGAAAACATATTGGAAAACCTGAAGTCTTATTATGTGACCAAAATTAAAATCTGTATGTGAAACATGAGCCCTCACGGATATTTCAATCATTTCCCATAACTTACTAAAACATACATATTAGAAAATTACTAATTCACTTATTTGCTGAATATGAAGTATCCTGACTGTCTTATGTGAGCAACTATCTTCTCAAGCACCGAATTAATACTATACATTTTCTGTATGCACCAACTTATTTAGATTACTTATTGGTTCATATCTTTGGATGTATGGTTAATGTTCATGAATAACTATGCCCTGAAGGATGTAACTATGTTCTTGAGCAGAAAGAAAGTACAGGCATGTACATGATAACATTGCCACCTCCAATGCAGAAGGTTTGAGTGGCCTACAAACTGTATCTCCTTGCCAGGAAAATTTCCCTACTCCGCATTCTTTGTGGAATGTACTTCCTAACAGGGTGAAGGCAGTAGCTCTTCTAAATCGGGACGACACATCAGCAAAGTGACTTTAAAATCTAGTATAAATTAAGTAACACCCTACTCATGTCCTCCTCCTTGTTAAGGCAGATTTGAGCCTTTTGCTGTCAGAATCAGTGGGTTTTGAAGCACAAATATAATCAGGGTGGAAAATTCTGTTGTGCAAGACAAATGAGCTAGCATGGCAAGATTTAGTTGTGCCCATGTCTGAAACCCATGGAGGAGGTGCTTGTGTTTCATAAAGATCCAATTTGAAACCCTCCATGAAGCTCATCTTAAACGTTTACCTTTGTTTATCAAGGGGGAAGAGATCCATTTGAGAAATGTCGAGATCATAAATATCTTCCAAATAACAGGAAATGTTGACCAGACAGGGAGTCACACAAGAGTTGAATCACCTTCAGTAAAAGAAGTTCTGTTAGATAGATATTTCAGCTCAGAACAGTGTCTCACAATCAACTCCTGGTTCACACAAACCAACCCATTCCTCTTCTTTGCTTACTTGAAGCCTCATTTATACTCTTCAGGGATATTAGCCCACCTGATATTCCTGACCCTCCAATAAGATTCACACAATCCTTATCCCATTATATAAACAGAAAAAAAACACACTGAAAGTCTAATTCACATACTCAGTTTCAGGAAACTAAAAATGTATAAAAGTAAATACAGACTACAGAGCCTTCACAGCTACACAAGGATTCCCAGTACTTATATTCAGTAGAATTTACTAACAGAAATGATATCAACAAATAGCTGAATCTTAGGTCACTGTCTTCTTTGACCTTCTATGTCTCCTGAAATTGAAAGCTAGTAACAGAAACTATGTAGAAAACATAAAATACTTGCCTCTCTTCCCTTCTATGAAGGTCAAATGCTAGTGACTACCCAGTATAACAGAGTGACTTTAAAAATTCTTGTTTCCGTAGCTACCAGAGATGAATGTCACATTATGAGCAAAGAAGCAGAGTCAAGACATATAGTCTTAAAGGGCCAGGGTGGTTAATGTCCCTCTCATATGTACAAACCTTTAGAGATATAATTAATCTATTAAAGGTATAAATTAATCTTTTATTAATTTGAAAAAATTCTCAGAAAATTTAAATTTATCATGATTTCTCCCTTCAACAACGTTTTCTACTCCCTTTGTTTCCCACATCTCTGCCTGCCCACTTGTTCAGTCTTTGCTTTCTCTATCTCTCTGAAAAAAAATCTTAATGCTAGAAAGACAAAAATACAAAATGAACACATGGCATAAGGTTTGCATTGGCCAACTACTGCTAGTTATGATGCCTACATTGGAATGTATTGAGTATTCCCAGTTATATTCCATTGAACAAAACTGATTTTCTTTTTCAAACACGTATCAATTGCAAATATCTTCTTAGTTAGTGAAGATTTTTTTGAGTCTACTACACAGTTATAGTACTAGCATATGGTCTGGTTTGAATGAGTATGGGTCTTGTTTGTCCTTTCAAAGCCTCCTTCAGTTCTCATGGGGTATTTGTCTTGTGTCTCCAGGACACTGTTTACTAAGAGTCATCCAATAGCTCTGACTCCTACAATCTTTCCCTTTCTTCTACTACACAGATCCCTAAGCCTTGAAGGGGGAAATCTGATGAGGACATTCCATTGAGGACTGAGTATTTCAATGTCTCTCATATTCTGCACATTGTCCAGTTGTGGGCCTTTGTGTTAATTACCACCTAGTACATGAATTTTCTATGGTATGTGTGGGGTAGAGTGGAGTACAAATCTATGGGAATAGTTCTTTAGAAGTCATTTTATTTCAGTATTCCTTTTTCTGAATAATAATAATAGGAGATTTTATATGACCTATCTAATCTCAGTTTTCTTTCCACTTCAGGAGAGTTTTCTATAGGTTCCATCTCATGGAGTGGGTCATAAATTCAATCAAAACTTGATGGGTAACCTCTTTCAGCCAAAGGCCTTTGAAAGGCTGGACCAGATTGAAGCAAGACTTTGGGTACAAAAAGGCCACAGTCCCACCAACTTGTCCTTTTCTTCCCATATACTACACCTGGATATTTCATCGCTGTTATCCATGAGTTCCCTTTTAATAATAATAAAAAAAACCTTAATATACCCTATTCAGAGCTAGTGTGGGATTCCTTTATTTACTCCATCTGGTGCCCCCAATGTGGGAACAACTCCACACTTATCGGGACAGCCCCCACCTCTGTGGCACTCCTTGTTCACCAGCCCAGGCCCATTTCTTGCCTGCTCATGGCCTGTCTACCGCTTCTTAGTAACCTGACTCTCCCCACACATGGCTCATGACTCATATGCCATTCCTTTTACAATCAGTTGTCCCTGTGGTGATTCTTCTGCTAATAGCACATAGTTCATGACTCACAACTGAATGAAAACTTTGGGCTTCCTTCTTATTCTGACCACCAACTCTCAGAATCACTTTAATTGTCCTTAATAACTGCTATTAGTTTGTTAAACAAAGCATATTTATCATTATCAAAAAAAACGATGTCCTTCCACTAGACGGCTCCAACTATGATACTTTCTGGTCAACAAAGATTTTTACACCTATTCCAGTTCACCATAATTACCTAAGGCAGGTTAAGATTTGAGAGTTATATAATGACTAACAATATTACCAGTCATGAATTTAATAACCATTTTGCTTATGCTATTCTGCAAGGCTTATGTGATTTTCCTGATACATCCATTTATTTGATTTTGGAAAATAGTTTTGTTTTTCATATTGTATCACTAAGAATATGGTTTCATAACAGAGCCAAAAATGAGACACTTTTAGAAATGGTACAATCTTTACAGACTAATAATGACCAGCTAGTTGAAAATTTATACTATTAGAAAGGATAACATTAATTTAACAAACAAAATCCAATTAATTTTGAAGGATGCTGAGATAATATATGAAAGAATTCATGACGTTGAACTTACCAATAGGAATCTGTTGAAAAGTTATGATAGGATAATGGATAAGGTATCTCTCCAGGAAGGAAATATGTACACCATCACAATTATGTCCAAGGATGAGATGTTATCTTTACTGAACAAATTTCATAACTTGGAATCATCAATAAGGGCAATAGAACAAAACTCTGGACATGAGATTCAAAAGGTATTTACAAAAGGCATTGGTAAAATAATTCTATACACTTTTATTGATATTTATTGAGCTCTACATTTTTCTCTGCTCCCCTCTCTGCCTCTCCCCCCCCTTCAATACTCCCCAAGGTCCCCATGCTCCCAGTTTACTCAGGAGATCTTGTCTTTTTCTACTTTCTACTTTCCACGTAGATTATATTTATGTAAATCTCTCTTAGTGTCTGTATTGTTGTCTAAGTTCTCTGAGATTGTGGTTTGTAGGCTCACTTATTTTGCTTTTTTTGTTTAAAAACTACCTATGAGTGAGTACATGTGATAATTGTCTTTCTGCGTCAAATAATTTGAAAATATTGAGTAATCAGAAACAAGACAAGGCGGTCCACTCCATATCTCTTCAAAATAGTGCTTGAAGTTTTAGCAATAGCAATAAGACAACATAAGGAGATCAAGGGGATTCAAACTGGAAAGGAAGAAGTTAAACTTTTCTTATTTGCAGATGATATGATAGTGTACATAAACGACCCCAAAAACTCTACAAGAGAACTCCTATATATAATAAATACCTTCAGTGATGTGGTAGGATACAAGATCAACTCAAAAAAAAACCCAGAAGCCCTTCTATACACAAAAAGTAAAGAAGCTGAGAGGGAAATCAGAGAAACATCACCTTTCACAATAGCCACAGATAACATAAAATATCTTGGGGTAACATTAACCAAAAAATGAAAGATCTATTTCACAAAAACTTTAAGCCTTTGAAGAAAGAAATTGAAGAAGACACCAGAAAATGGAGAGATCGCCCACGTTTGTAGATAGGAAGGATCAACATTGGAAAAATGGCTATACTACCAAAGGCAAGCTATAGATTCATTGCAATCCCCATCAAAATCCCAACAAAATTCTTCACAGACCTTGACAGAACAATAATCAACTTTATATGGAAAAATAAAAAACCCAGGATAGCCAAAGCAATCCTATCTAATAAAGGAACTTACAGAGGCATTGCCATCCCTGGCATTAAGCTCTATTATTGAGCTACAGTAATCAAAACATCTTGGTATTGGCATAAAAACAGAGATGTTGACCAATGGAATAAAATTGAAGACCCAAATATTAATGCACACACCCATGAACACCTGATTTTTGACAAAGAAGCTAAAATTATACAATGGAAAAAAGAAAGCATCTTCAACATAGAGGATGAGTTAAAAACTCTAGTAGGAAATAAGAAATGTATATTTTGGCAGGCTTCTATAAATGATCAAGGACCAAAGCTAAGAGTGCATATAAATAACATTGTCATTGAGGAATTACTAGACACAGGTGTGTGTGAGAGTAGCATTGTTCCAGGATCTTGACATCCAGATTGGCCTCTTCAAGAAGCAGATGTTCAATTCCTAGAAATTGGAACTCTATCTCAAGTGAAACAAAACACAAGATGGGTTGGATGAATAGGACTAAAAGGACAGAGAGGAAGGCCAAGGCCATATGTAACTAAAATTGCAGTGAATGTATGGGGTTGTGACCAGTTGCAGTAATAGAATACCCAGATTAACATTCCCACAGTCCCAGAAACTCATGTTTCTGGGATAGATATTACAAAGTACTATGAACAAAGGTCACCAGCCATTCAGGCTATAAAAAAATACAAAGCAACTATCAAGCCTTCAGAGGTACTAATGGCCCATCCTTTAAAATGGTCAAGTAAGAAACCAATATGTGTTAAACAGTGGTCTTTACCAGAAGAGAAGTTGAAGGCTTTAGAGCAGCTGGTAAAAGAGCAACTAGATGCTAACCATATTTAATAATCAATCATCTCTTGGAATTCTCCTGTATTTGTTACTAAAAAGAAATCTGTAAAAATGGAAAATGGTGACAGATCTTAGAGAAGTAAACAAGGTTATTCAATGTATGGGCACTCTACAATCTGAAATTTATCTGATTTTCTATTACCAAAAAGATGGCCTCTCATAGTTAATGATTTAAAAAATTGTTTCTTCACTATACATTTAAAAGAAAAGAACAGAGAAAAATTTGCCTTCGCAGTGCCTACTTATAATAATTCTCAGCATACTAGGAGATATCAATGGACTGTTTTCCCAAAGAAAATGCTCAATAGACATACCCTGGGTCAATACTTTGCAAGTCAGTCATTGGAAATAATGTATAAGTAATTTTATAAGTCTTTATTTTCTATTATATTTTGCTATCTGACTCAAATAAATCAGACATGTTAGAAAGAATGTTTGAAAAAGTAAAGAAAGTTTTATCTAAATGGGAATTACAAATTGTTTTTGAAAAAATACTGAGAAGAGATTCAGGCAATTACTTAGTTTTAAAATAGGTTCACAGCCCCTCTCCTCCTACATCATCCTGGCTTTCTGCCTGAAACCCCTACCCTTCCTCTGTCCCTTTTTCGGGGCTTAAATTCCTCCAACTCAGCCTGGGTGGGCACCGCGGCCTGGACGGGTGGTGAGTGCAAATGGGAGGGAGTCCCTTTGTTCTAAAAGCCTGCCTGCAGCAAGGTAAGACTGCAGGCAGGGAGACTTCTGACCAGCGAGTGGCTCTGATCCTGTAGCAGATGATACAATGGAGGGGTAAGTGTGTTCCTGACTGCCACACAAGTCCGAAAAGGGAACACACAATCTTCCCGCCATCCTTATCTCCCTGGCTACTCCAAAGGGGGGGCTTGCCCCAGCTAAACCCTCTCTCCTCCTACGCCATCCCAGCATTGTGACCGGAACCCCTACCCTTCCTCTCTCCCTTTTTCGGTGCTTAAATTCCTCCAACACAGCCTGGGTGGGCACCTGCAGCCGGAACAGGTGGTGAGTGCA